ACCCCCTTACACCTCACAGCCTCACGGGACCCTGGGGAGCTACTTCAGGTCTCAGCCATCTGAGGGGACATAGCCAGGCTCTCAGCCCAGAAAAAGCCTTCCCTGGGAACCTACCCACTTCCAATCCCCCCCACTCCCCCGCCCCCAGGGAGCATGCCTTCTGGGAAACCAACTGGTGAAGACCAGGCAGGCCCGACCCCACCCTCCCCGTTTCCTGGAGGTCCTTCCTGAGGGGCTCTCTTCCCAGCAGCCTGGGCGGGAAGCAGGGAGAGGTGCCACCAGCAAGCCTTCCTGGGAGCCGCTGCTGATGCTCAAACGGTTACCACTCGGCCCATCTGGGGCTCTCCATCTGCCCAGTCGGGCACCGGCATCTTCCTCTGCCCTCCTCCCTCGCACCTCGCTCAGAAGCTACCTTAGCTGTCCCCCCACCGAGGGGCTCCAGCCAACTTAGGAAGGACCCCGATTCCCAGGGTCAAAGACCCTCCTCTGGCCGACCCCAAGGCCCAAACTAACCCATCTGTTCTGCACCTTCTACACCTAGGGCCAGCGGCTGTGGCCCCTGGCGGAGAATCATAAAAAGGTTCTATGTCCCCGGATGGGAAGGGAGCCCCCAGGCTGACCACCGATCCAGGAGACCCAAGGAGACAGCAGGCCTGAGGCAGGTAAAGCACCCGCCACTTTCCACCATCCTCCCCAGTCCTCACCTGGAATCCAGATGAAACGGGGCTGATGGGAACACCAAAAGCATCCCTTGGGGTGGGAGTAAGATCCCAAACAGGGGAGCACACAAGAAGGAACGCCATTTGCTTTGCCAAGTGGTGGAGGGCAGGACTGGCCAGGTCACACCCCGCCCCCCCATTCACATCCCCGCTGCTGGCCTCCGGGCCTGGCCTCTGGTAGCAGTGCCTGGGGCCCTCCACTGGCTAAGCTACCCCTGTAGCCCAGCCTTTGCTGCCATCTCTCCCCCCCCCCAGCCCCGCCTCCCCAGCCAGACCAGGAGGGACCTCGGCAGCTTATGTCGGAAAGGCAGGACACCTTCCCTGTGGGAGTGGGATAACCACAGGGGTGCCGCCAGGAGACCTCTGTACCTCCCACCTCCAGCCGGCTGAGGGCACTGCTCCCGCCCTATTTGCCCTCGGAAGCCCCCCAACCAACAGGGAGATGAGGCCAGGGGACCGCTGCCTTGGTGACCAGAGCTGAGCAAAGGTTTGGGCTTTAAAAAAAAATCACGCTGTCTAGGATGGCGGGCCTAAGGGGGAGGGGGGTGGGGAAGGGGGGGTGATGGATTGTAACAATTCTTCCTTTCCATCCCAGCCCTCCAGCTATTTAGCTCCAGGACTTCTTCCTACGTGGAAATCGGGTTTCGGGCCCTCCTGGAGTGTCCCTTCCCCCTTCCCCCTCCCCCCTCCAGGGGTGTGACCCTACCACAGTGAGGACGCACAGCTGCGGAAGGGCAGGCATGCATGGCCCGGTGGGCATCTTCCCTGGGGTTGAGCAAGGCTCTGGCCCAGTCATCATTGCCCTTGGGCTGTGATACACAGAGGCGCTCTGAGGAGGGGCCTGTAATGGACAGCAGGGAGGGCTGGCGGGTCAGGGAGCGAGAGAGGAAGCAGGGCTGACAACCAGCTTGTGGGCAGGGAAGGTGGTCCGCGGGGCTCCCCACCCCACACATGAACCCTCTTCGCTGAGCCCCGAGGCCTGAGGTGGCCAGTGATCTTTCTTCAACAACACAGAAGAGCACAGGTCTGTCCCCTAAACTTGCCCCCCTTGGAAAAGTAGTAATAGCCGTCTCACTTCCTTCCTTAATATCTGAACGTTTTAAGGGGAGGGGCAAAAGAAATGGCGCTGTTTGAAACACGAAGACTAATATGCACCATGAGTGTATCATGATCATCACTATGAAACCCTAACTCTCCCCCCGCCCCCCTAAAGCCTGTTATCTTCCCCAGCTCAGAAGGAATCTGGCCTCCCCCCCACCCACCCACTTCCTAGCTGGTTCAGTCACAGGGAGCGGAGCCTGGGGGAGAAGTGCCTCTGCAGGCCTGCCTGGCTGCCTGCCTGGGCTTCCTACCTGCCCCAGGGTGATGACAGGAGCCGGGAGCCTTGGGACCTGCGGCTCCTGCCTGAGGCGCCTGCAATGAGCCTGTGGGGAGTTGAGAAGAAAAGCTAGAATGTAAGTTTCCTAGCAGGAGCCTTGTCTGTTTCCTCCATTTGCTGCAGGCCCAAAAAGCAGTGTTTCAAAAATACCTACAGGAAACAGAGGGTTTCAACTTCCGGCTTAGATCCTGAAGCCTCACCTCCTCCCTGATTGGCTGGAGCCACATCAGAGCAAAACAAAGGCACCCTGACTGTCCCAAAGATCGGGGCTGGGAGTCGACAGCGTGGCCTCCGTCCACAATGACCAGAGCTACTGTGGTGTGGGGACCTTCGTGCCAGCATCACCAGCATCACCCTGGCCCCAGTAACAGCCCTGCTGGAGAGGCCGTGTCTCCCACCTTACAGACGTGCAGAAAGAGGCTCCAAGGGGTCAAGACCTTTCCCCACTGTCCCCCAGCCACAAAGTAGGGGAGCTAGGCTGTCAACCCAAAAGTTAGGTGAATGTTCTGCTGAACTGAATCTCAGTCCTCTCCAGAAGTTAGCTCCCGCCCAGGGGCACTGATCTTGCAGAAGGGAGTAACTCGAGTAGTGTCATCCTGAAGTCCCCAACCCCAGGGTAAACCCCCACCTCCCACCACACACCTATGCAGAGTCAGGGTTTCCTTTGTCACAGCGTTGGCCTAGTGGCCCTGACCACAGGCAGCACAGCCCTTAGAACATAAGCCCCCTTTGGCCAAATGGAGATTCTAAGAGGTGTCTAACCTTGGCTAGCTCACACTAGAAAAGGGGCGTAGAAATTATTTGGAGTCCCTCCCTGACAAGCACTGCTCTGGGTGGTCATTTATATAACATCACGCTCTTTAGGTCTCCCAGTGTCGCTGTGGACTAGGCAAGTATTATTATCTTCAAACTCAGGTTCAGAGATGTTGAGTGACTTGCCCAAGGTCACACAGCAACTCCATGCCAGAGGCAAAATTAAAACCCTAATTATCTATGCGCACCCTATGATTCTGGCTCATTCTCTGGCGTTCAAAGAAAGGCCAATAGGAAGTTTACCATCACCTTCCTTTTTCAATACAGAAGGTGACAAATGTGACTATGTCTGCAGTGCCATCCCGCTGCTGGCTTTGCCAACCCCTTCCCAGATGGGGAAACTGGTCTCCAAAGAGGAAGGGCTGGGCCCATCCTGCAGGGAGGGGAACCGGGAAGGGATCTAGGCCCTCCTAATGTCCATTCCAGAGCCCTGAGCACCCCATCATTATGGCAGGTATAGCAGCCTCCTTGTCTGCAAGACTCACCCCCACCCACCCTCACAGCTTCTGCGGGCAGCAGGCATGGCTGGAGATAGGACAGGACCTCGCCATTGTCTGTGATAAAGTGGGAATGGATTTGCACACCCTCCAAAGAGGACCCGGCAAGTAGTAGGGCCATAGCTTTTGTTTCAAATTTGCTTTTTCAACTTTTAAGCCACTGTGGCATTTGGGAACAATTTTGGTAACTTTTTTCCTAAAATTAAGTTGAAGTGATTTTCAAAACCAATCATCGGCTTGGAGGACACCCCACTTTGGGTTGG